CATCTCCTCGCCTGCTCCTTCCCTTGCTGCAACACTCCAAGTCATTGCACTGCCAGGCATAACCTCATCCACTTCTCCTCCAGTGCCATATCCCTGCGGGAGGATCACAGCTCCGGAGATGAGGGGAAAGGTGACCCGCACTGAAAACACCATTGAGCGCTGGAACATCACGGCCCACGATGAGGACGACGCTCACGATGAAGTGCTCGACATCACAGAGCTGCCTCCCCCCTTCCCCACCACCACCACCACCACCGCCCCTGCCAGGATCGTGCCGATAACTAAGAATGACACCCGTGTGGTCGGGGGATACGACAGCGTGAAGGGCCAGCTGCCATGGCAGGTATGGGCTGCTCCCATGTGCCTCCATCAGGCACTGCCATTAGATCCCTCTGCATCCATGCTCACCTTCCATCACACTGAAACCTGCCTCCAAGGCTGCTTTAGTATGAGATCTCCCATCTCATAGGAATGCAGCTTCTCTCTGCAGATGGATTTAAGCCACAGCAGCAAAATTTCTGACTGGGAGTCTATCCTGGCAAACAACTAAAAGTCAGAGAGGCTTCAGCACGCTTGGCAAAGGGCTACACAGCTCCATTTTGAATGAAGCCTTTCTGAATGGATGGGAAATCTCTTTTCAAAGTAATATTCTGATTCTGTTCTCTTGCAAGCCCTGGCACAGACCAGCGCTGATTGTGGCAATGCCCCATAGGGCCCATTCATGCAGGTCAGCCAGGAGGAGTACCGAAAACCTAAACCTAAGAAATCAGCACCCACAACAAAAGCATATTCACTTACTATGAGCCCACCGAGGCTGGCTGCGCTCACAAGGACCTCCACCTCACCAGACACAACCCTCTCAAATTATTTTGCTGTCCCTTTGGTCAGCTGGCAGGTGAGGGTGCCCATCCCGCAGAGGTCAGGCAGCACGCAGGAGGGATGCTGTGCGCTCCCCAGGGCCCGGGATGGCTGCAGGGCACAGGAAAGAGCCCTAGAAAGCCAGCATCGGTCAGCGGGCCAGGCTGCGAGCAGCGAGCGGTGCTGCCATCCCGTGGCTGGCGGCTGGGAACGGCCGAGGGAGCGCTGCCGCTGCGGGAGCGGTTCCAGCGGCTGCAGGGAGGGCAGGAGGAAGCCTGGCAGGATGCCATGCCGCGTGGGAAGGACAAAATGGGTGAAACAGAAAGGAAATCCATCTTTTCAATACAGCTCAACGAGTCGGCTGATGGATTTAATTAGAAGTTTTAGCGTGAGGGATGTCCTGGCTCGGGTCCTGTGAGTGGGAGGGCACCGGATGCTCATATGGTACAAGGACTTAGCATCTTACCTCCTGTTTCTCTGGTCATTGGAAAGCACTTTTAGGAGGTGTGTATGGAAGTGCATTTAGGAAAATGCGTTAAAGTGGAGTTTATCATAGAATACCTGAGTTGGAAGGGACCCATAAAAGTCACTGGCTCCAACTCCTGGCTCTACGCAGGACTATCCAAAAATCAAACCCTATGCTGGGGCTGTCTGACCCCCAGCCTGGAGCAGGGATCATCTAGGGGCAAGTGCAGCATGGCACCAGAAGTGTGTGAACAGTGCTGGACAAAGAGGGGTGGGGGCACGGGGACAGCAGGGAGAAGCTCCTGGCATGGCTGGGGCAGCACTGGCTCTGTGCAATTTAACACAACCCATCCTACAGCCAAACCCACGCCCTGCACCTCCCTCTTGGCACAAAACCCACAGCTGCTGTTTCCTTCTGCTCTCGCAGGTTCACCTGGTGGACAGCAGCGGTTTGGGCTTCTGCGGAGGATCCATTATCAATGAGAAATGGGTGGTGACAGCAGCTCACTGCCTGAACCCAGGGGACAACGTCACGGTTGTGGCAGGTGAGCACTGTAGGTGGCACCGCCGCTCAGTGACTCCAGCACCTCAGCCCAACTGCAGGGGATCGCCCCAAAGGCAGCCTGCCCCTCCAGCAGGCTCTGTTGGAGCTCAGAGAAGCAGCAGGGCCCGGCTGCAAGGCATGGGGTGTTACAGCTTCACAAAACTAATTTCTCTCTCTTTGACAAACGGTGTTTCCCCCCCACTCCTGGTACCCAGATGTTCCACACTGCCTGCTGATCATTCAGCACGGGGCTTTGGCAAGCAGTGCAGTGCCACGTTTTACAGCTATGGCAGAGTCATCTTCCCCAAATTACTTGTTTCCCTCCAGTATGATTACCCAGTGCAGGAAGCAAGCTGATGGAGCTGGTAACAGCTACAGGCAATGTTGAGGAGGTAGGGAAGAATCTCACTTTCTTGTATTACTGACAAAAATGAGATTCTACCTGAGCCTTGAAACACTGAATTCATATCTACAGAAATTGGCTAATCAAGAGGACTCCATCTGCATCTTCACCTTCTGCAGCAGCACAGCTGAGCCCTGGCTGTGAGCTGTGCTGTGCCATGGTGCTCGTGCTGTGGGACCAAAGCCCTGCCCTGTGCAGGCAACAGGAGGCTTGCAGCTTGCACACAGGTCTTCTATCTCCCTACCTGCCTTCAGGCACAAAACTCAGCATTGCACCCACAAACACGAGAAAGTACACAATTCTCAATGCAATTCTTTTCCCCCAGAAAAGCACGTTTCCCCCAGACAGATGTTTTGTGTTCACTGTATGTGCTCGCCAGCTCCCTCCCCTTCCCAGCTCAGCTCTGCTGTCAGCCAGCTCCCCATGCACTGCCTGCCTGCACACCCCCCTGCAGCACTGCTCTCTTTGCAGGGCAGGATTTGGGGCAGGTAGCAAATCAAGTGAGCAAAACATGGTTTTGCAGGGCTTCAGGAACTGCTGAATTTGTACTCACATCATGCATAGTGCATGGGTAACATGTGAATCCTTCACCTCCATTCATGCTAAATGTTCAGCTTTGTTTATAGCATACTGGGAGGCCCAGAGAGTGATAGCAGGGGTGGAAGAAGCAGTCCCAGCCCTAATTCTTTGCCTCTCTGCCTTCATCACCGAAGCACGTTTATGGGTCCCCAGCAATAGCAAGCAGCTGTCACACAAGTAAAACCCTGTCAAAGTCTCCCCCACTTCTTGCATTTACACTGTGGAAACGCAGCCTGCAAAAAAAGCTGACACTCACACTGCTACTGCAGCAAAAAAAATAAACCCATAGCAATCAGAGCAGCAGCACAGCCACCAGCCCCACCTCGGCCAGGCAGAGCGCAGCACAGCCTGGAGCACTGCCTCACCTCTTTAATGGCTCCTGTCGCTCCTTGCAGGCACACACGGGCACAGGACACAACCGGGCTGCTGCAGACGCTGCTTAGAGATCGGATGTTGTGGAGATCACAGCAGAGCGCGGGGAAACGCTGCAGCATGGGTTAAACAAGCTCTGTGCCTCTAGGACTGAGAAAAGCCATCCTGCTCTCAGCATCACCGGGCCGTGGGTGAGGCAGGGGCTCAGCTCAGCACCAAGTGCCCCAGCCAAGTCCCACAGCATTCCTCTCCCTCCACCTGTTGTCACGCAGGGTGGGGGATAAGCAGCCAGCTGCGGGCACTCAGAGGCAGCTGCACCCTGCAACTGGGCACAGGGACCCATGGGGCAGTGCTACCCTTACAGCCCCACCAGCTGTGGGTCTGCAGAGAGGCATGTGGCTAATGAGCAGTGCTTTTTAACAGAGATTTGTAATTCTTGAGGCCTTTCCCTTTGGTGCTAGGGCAGCATTGTTGTGAGGGCGCTCAGTTCAGAGAGCACGTTGCCACACGCTTTGGCAAAACCCTCCGGGCCGCAATCACTGGCTCTGTGTTTGTGAGGCGCTGTGGTGATGGCTGCCGTGTGTGACGGGGATGTGCACTCACTGGGCTGCTATGGGCCTGGTGCAGGGATGGGCAGTGGGAGCACTGGGATGGCACCAGGAGGACATAGCTGTCACCAGGCCCACACATTTATCTCCACAGGTGAATACAACACGAAGGAGGACGATCACACAGAGCAGTGGCGGCAGGTGGTTAAAATCCTTCCTTATCCCAGCTACAACCGCACCAGGAACAAGCACCACAATGACATCGCCCTCCTGGAGCTGGACCAGCCGCTCACCTTCAACAGCTACGTCACCCCCATTTGCATCGGCAGCCGGGACTTCACCAACAACCTGCTGAGCAACGGGCCGGGCACGGTGAGCGGCTGGGGCAGCATGCTGTACCGCGGCCGCTCCGCCATCGTCCTGCAGGTGCTCACCGTGCCCTTCGTGGACCGGGTGACCTGCCTGAAGAGCACCTCCACCACCATCCTGCAGAGCATGTTCTGTGCCGGCTACACGGCCGGGGGGAAGGACACGTGTGGGGGGGACAGCGGCGGGCCCTACACCAACAGCATTGGGGAGACCTGGTTTTTGACAGGGGTCACCAGCTGGGGTGAGGAATGCGCCAAGCCGGGCAAGTACGGCATCTACACCAAGGTCGCCAAGTATGTGAAGTGGATCAGGGAAACCACGAGGCTCGCCTAACTGTGCTGATGTGCTGGTGGAGGGACTGGGGAGGGGGAGAACACAGGAACCGTCTCAGAAATCACTGTGTTTTGATAATTGTTTCTATATGAACCAATTTCTGCTCTTGGAAGAGAACCCAGTGTAAACGTGGCAATGCGGAAATAAAAAGCCTTTCTAATTCTAACTCCAGCATTAGGTGCGTCCCGAACCCCACACACCCATGGCTGCCCACCACCAACCCCTTCCCCCACAGCACCACAGGGAGGACATGATCCCAGCACAGCTGCATGGCCCCACTGGGATGCAAAGCAAGTGGTGCTGGGTGGCAGCTGCTATTTCAGACTTCAGGATGAGCAGTGAGGTGCCTCCCCCATCTCACTGCCACCACATCCAGCCAGAAGCTGATGGGAGCCACTGTCACTGCTCGTCTTAAAATCAAACGTGTGTGTGAATGCTATATTTGTGCCAAAGAAATGAAACAAAGCCAACGCTCAGAATTTTTTCAGAGCCACAGCAGAGGTGTCTTCGGACAGAATTGCATATTCTCATAAGAATTTATTTAACAACTTTTTAATCTTTAAATATAGATTTAACACATTTTTTTTTTTTTACAGGTACATATACAATATAGTTCATTTAAACTTGCAGTCAGAGAAAACTCTCTACTGTAATTTATAATAACATGTACATGAAGAGCCTAGTTCAACAGCATACTTAAAGGTAACAGACCATGTCATGTGCAAAGTTTCAAATGTTAAAAATCTCAGACTGTACATTCAGAGTTGCAGAGCTAGTCAATCTCATAAATTAATAAAAGCTTAAATTTAAAACTATGGAAGACAGAAAAAAAGATTAAAACCATTCATATGCAATGTGTGCTATGTTTGAGACAAATATTTACAGCTGTACCTCAAAATGTGTACTGGTACCACAAGAATTGTTACCACTATAAATTACCTCCATACTAACTTCAGAGAATCCTACTTTTCCACCTAGTGAGCGCACTGTGATCAGTTTTAAAACAGACAGAAATAATAATCAGTGACTTAAAACCTCCCTGGTTTGATTCCCAATGGCTAAGGAACACTGGGATCTTTCCAAGTCTCGCAGTGTTGCTTAGCACAGACTCAGTGGTCCTGCTTTGGGGATGTATGGGGCTGCCCCCAGCGCTGGCCATCCAACCCAGGGAAATCCCCCCTGGGCAGCCACAGCCAAGGAGCAGTTCAACCATTCCTCCATACAAAAGTGGTCACCGAAAACACTCAGTGTGTTTGAACTCAACAGTTTGATACTGTATCTAAGAATTGATGGCTCACAAATCAAAGTCAGAACACAAAGGTCCCCCTTCAGCCCATGGTATAAAACATTTTGTGTCAACGGGACAGAGCACATCCTGTAAGGCATGCATACTATCAACCCTGTTCTCAACAGTCAGATGCTCTTTGCATACATCTGCTTAAAAGTCAAACCACCTATACCTATGTTCTACAAAAGCAAAACTAGACACAGAAACACAAAATTAAACTGAGAATTCAATATTCCTTTTCTTCCTTGAAAATTCAACTGATGCGTTATCATTAAAGATGCTGAAAAGTACAGTCTTGTCACATGAACATCCTTAGTGCAAACATGGACATTTAACTTTGATTTATGGCACGTGTTCCAAAAGTACATACATTTAATGTAAACTTCAACACTTGCTAGATACAGGTTTCAGCCTTGGGACACTGTGGGACCCTAAAGTGATTGGCGACAACCCTGAGTTGTCAGTTCGACCTGATCCAAACCTCACTGAAATCAATGGGACTGACTGCAATGGGCTGGATTCAGACCCTAAGTGCAAAAAAAGGATCTTTAGCATTATTGCATCTTCCACGTGAGTCAGCCAGATGATGCTCTTACAGAACATTACATTCACATAGCTGAAGTAGATTTTTAAGAAAAATCCATCCATAAAATCAATTAAGCAGAACATACAGCTTCTTTGTTGTTGGTTTTTGTTTGTTTTTGGTTTACCAAAACTCAACTCTTTGATTTGCAATCAGCTTCAACAGTTGTCAGCTAATAAGTAGATAAAGCCTTCAACCTGCAGATGAAATCTCAAGCATCTATACAAGGTGTACTTCTCTGATGAAACATGATGGATGTCATGGAAAACAGCAGGTAAAAATAATGAAACACTGTACTTTCCATAGTGGGGGAAAAAAAAGAGCAGAGAATGGCTTCCTTTATGACTATGAGAAGCTGCTTAGGACACCGGTCCCGTTCAGTGCAGATGAAGCTGTGGAGCTCTGTGAATGTGATGAATAGTACAGGAAAACTCCAACTATTGTGCTATTTCTCTGTAACACGTAGTTGAAAGCTTCCAAGAGCATCAAAACCAGGATGCTACTAGTTCACCCTTAACTCAAGGGGAACTAAACTTTCGCGTGTTACACAGGGCAGCATCTATAAAGTAATGAAGAATGATGTTAATGTTAAAGCATCTTATTCCAAGAAACACATTGTTCCCTGTAATCATGTAACATTTGTAAAACGTAAAAGGAAAAAAAGCACACTCCTGTGGTTCTCCCTGAAAGCTGAACTCCCATTAGCTTCACTGAGAGCCTTGTTTAAGGCAGGACCACAGGGTTTGACTCGTTTCTGTAATCTATCACTTGATTATCACAGCATGGCCAGCGGTTATCGTCTCTAGAATCCTTATTTTGTCACTGCAAAATGGCTTTCTATGGGCACAAAATAGCTGTTCTATGAGGCTGGCTGGCATCACTGGTTGTAAATGTAGACCCTGCTTTATATTTCAAAGGCAAAAATTAATATTATCTTTAACGGACCCTGCATAATAATTCTGCTCACATAAAGCCTGTGGCTGCAATCATTAAAGTGCAAGAGTAACAGTGCAAACAGCTGTGCTACATCTGCAAAATGACAAGTGGCATTTTAAACAAAACTTACACAAAACTTGCACATTTCAGCTAACATGCTTATGCTAGCTTGCAAGAGCTCAAGCATTCAGCCACGCACTCTCATCAGGCAAATTAGAACTGTGTGGCCCAAGGTGCTATGTAAAGAGCTGCCTCAAACTCAGCCAAGAGTCTGCCCTGGCTGGTCAGAGCAGAGGGTGCACAAGCTTGTCCTCTGGGCACTTCAAGTGAGGGGCATTTTAGCATGAAGAGCACACATGCACTCACACGTGCACAAACACACACAGGGATCCCCTTAAGGCTTGGAAGAGAATTTGTCAAGTGGGATGCTGAACAAAACTAGAAGATGTCTGATATATAGCACAGGAGCAGCAACCTGGTCAGACCTACATCACACTGCAAAGTGAGAGCATCGTGGCTGCCTGCATCCTCCCTGAAACAAGTGGGTGCCAGCACCTGCCCTGGAATGGAGCATCTTCCAATAGATGCTCTGAGTGCTCCTTAGGTTTGGGCTCAATTCTGCTCTATTTCATGCTCTCTCTAAAATAAATCAGCCTCACACAACCTTCATGCAGTCAGACGAAATCAGAAACCATCTCTCTGCCCAGATTTTAAAGGTCAGATGAAAAAGGCTGGAAATGCATTGGCCTCATTTTGCTCTGACGTGAAAATTCTAGAGCAAACAAAATGTTTCCTTTTGCTTGCATTTGTTTACCACTGCTGAGAGAAAAGAAGAGCAGAACAAGAACTCAGCCTCCACAAGAGGGGAACTGTTGTGCTCCTGCACTGTTACCATGTCACTGAGATGAAACACATCACGCATCTGCACTGGGTTTCAGCAAGGACCTCACCTCTGCTGTCAGAGCTCTCAGTTTGCTGAGCTGGGTGCTGCAGCACAGCTGGAGGTAACATGGTTTTCCCTTCAGTGACACAGGTGCTGTCAGTTCTCTGTATCACAGGAGTACATGGCCTGTGGAGTATAAGCAACCTGGGGACCTGCAGAGCTATTTTGCTTCCTGGCCCATCGTGGAAGAAGAGTTTGGATTCTAACCCACATTCCTGACATTCCAAGGGATGTGCATCTTATGCAGGAACTGCTCCTTCTTAATACATACAGAAATTGTTTTATACTTTAGCAAGGCATCTGAAATGAGCAACATGCAACCACTATTTCCTGAGCAGTGCTTTCTCTGAGCAGAGTTCTCAACAAACTTTTTCCGTTTTGAGATCTGTGCATTAACATCTGTGATACAGAACTACTGCTGTGGCACACACATAAGAGAAACACCACAGATTTACACAGGAAACAAATCTATTCAAAAGAAAGCAGCAATGGCTAATTTCAGAAGTTATTGCTAGGGGCACGACAGGGGAAAAATTGTTATTCAAAATGAACTCCAAGACAGTTATCTTCCTTCCCAAAAGCCTCCTGGCTTAAATCCAGGCCAAGATTTACACTAAGTTTAATAAGGTTTTCCCTCCCACCTCTGCAATAGAGATTTAGACCAAAGTACTCTCTTTATCAGCTGTTACATGGCATTGCCAATAGTAACCACTCACCCATAAGGCAAATTAACTGCACAACTAGTGAAGAAGTAAAGGAAAAAAGCATCTGTATTTTCAGGATTCATTTGGCTGTTCCAAATTCTGCTTTGCACAAAGGCTCTCCCTTGGCAGACCTGGTGCAGGACAGCATATTTGCAAAGCTGGCAATGGCAGGGTAGTGGGACATCTACCAAATTCCTATCTGATAACTTCAAATGAGCAGAAAAGCTTCCTGTAACTTCAAGTTAATGACTGTGGGGACCAGGAGCCAAGCACTAACACAGGAACCAGCTCTGTGTGCTTTTGCTTTCAGCTCCTGAGAACCCCACAGGCAGCTGAGAATATCTGTGGGTTATGGTGTGCCCTCCTGTACCCAACGTCACTCCTCAGCTGCCAAACTGTGTCTTTGCTATGTCAGGACCAGCCTGTCCTTCCTCCAAGGGAGGCTGGCTGGAAGGACTTCTTGCAGAGCTGGAGTAAGAGCTCCATCTTCTGAAAAAGCAGAAAACAGACCCCAAACCAGGCCACATCCCAGAGCAATTAATGGCTGTAAAATCATCCACAGCATAAAATGACCTATCCACAAAAGGAATAGCTTTGTTAAATGCAAAGGTGTAGTCTGAAAATCAGTTTTTAGAGTGAATGATGGCTGTAAGGACATGCCACTGAAAAGCTCTTTGAATAACTCCAGGAAATGGAGAGAAAACATCCTACACCATCCTACAGCGTTGCCTCAAGTGCGTGTAAAATTAGAACCATGCCTACAGACTGCATACACAATCAGCAACAGAGAGAATGAGCAAAGTCAATCTTAACAGGGAAAACTAAGCCTCAGCACTGCTGCCAGACTCTAGTGACACGGCTACAAACATCTGAGAAGCAGTGTAAGATGTACAGCAGCAGCCTTCTGTGGTTCTGTCCTGTGAAATTCTTCTTACTTTGTACTCAGTGACTGTAAACCAGTGTAGAGCTGCAAGTTTCTAGGATTTGGGGGTTATGACCAGTGACAAAGCAAGCCAGCATTCAAAGTTAACCAGTATTCTATTTTCAGGGTACTTTCAGGGCTGGAGGAACCTCCACACAGACTATGGTCCAGGACCTAGAGATAACTAGACTTCCTTTTTTATGGACAAAACCTTTGTGAATTTTTTTTCTCTGTGTGTTCTGAGCTGTTCCAGTCACAATCCCAGCCCCCCATTTCCAGCATGGTAATGAAAAACCATGGAGTGGTGACAGCAAATACATGGTGAGGGTAATGGGCTGCTCTTAAGGCATCTTCTTGTGTCATCTGCTATTCTTCTTAATCTATGTACATTTACAACTAGAAAATGAGAAACATGATTTTTAAGACTAAAAGCCTTTCACTAAAACCTGGTAATTTGTTTATAAACTATTTTAATGAAGGATTAACAAGCAGCAACCAGCAGTGAGTGAAAGAGCAAGGCTTGACCAAGCGCAGAACTGAAGCCTTCCTTCCACGTGCTTTGGATCAGGCCACAGCAGCTTGTGCAGCATGAGGAGGTTTTGCCTAGGTGCATCCTATTCACATGGGGTCTGAGCTACAGCAGCAAGAAGGCAAAAACAGTCATGGGAATCCCTGATCAGACTCCATTTCTTCTCCTAGATCTTCTACCCAGTGCTCTTGCAATGAAACCTATGTGTTTAAGTGTTGGGTTTTTTTTTGTTTCTTTTAACTTACTAGTGCCTAAAGTCAGAGAAGTGTCTTAAGGTGCTAAGAAAAAAAAAAATCCACAAAAAAGCAGTAGCTTAATTTACTACTTCTGCAGGCTTTTTGGAGTAGCTGCTTTCTCTCTCTCCATTTTTTTTTTTTTTTTTTTTTTTTTTACTGCAGAGGCAAATGCAGCCAGATTTAGTATATCAAGTGTAGTACAAATGGCTTAAAAGACCTGAATTGAGTTTTGAGATATTTCTGTTATGTGTATTATATGATACCTGCAACTTTGGCATTCCGAAATCTACAATCACCGACTACTATCTGCAGACTGTGGACAGGGATCCAGCCTTCTTTTCTTCTGTTTAAGTTTTTCACCAACCTTTGAACAACAACAGTATTAGTAAAAGAAACAAATCACCCCACAAGCAGTTTTGTATTGGCAGTGGGCACACTTTACATGACAGTCAGTGCAACCAACAGTCTGCTCAAATAGGGGGAGCATTTTAACAGGAGCTGTGCATTTAAGAATTCCACCCAACTAATTTTAGGTAACTAATTAAAAAACCTTCATCAGGAACTTTGCCTTGGGCCCCTCCTAGCTAATGAAGAGGAACAAGGCTCTCCAGAGCACGAGTAACCCTGCCTGGGGTCTGCATCATTCTCCAGAAGTGCCTGTTTCTCTCCACTGACTACCAATGAAGCCCAGGACAATTACTTTCCTGCTCATGTAGTGAGATCTGAACTAACAAATACATTTGGTCTGAGAACTGTCTGCCTGGCACTGGCTAAAAGTGCTATGAAAGGTGGTGAGCATGCAGCATGATTGAGATACTTTCTACCTTCTTTTTGCTAACAGCAAACTGAATTTCCCATGAAGCATAAGGGCTGTAGATGCTGGCCATGAATCCCCCATAGGGCTGCTGTGCCTGTGTGTTTATACTAAGGAGAGGCTGGCTGAAGAGAGCTAGTCAGAAATCAGTCTGGAAAGGAATTACAGGCAGGAAACTTGGCCAAAATGCTGCAAAAATCAGAAGAGGGCATGCTGCCCTCTGAGACAATGAGACCAACGGTTCAACAGGCAGAACATGGGGTATAGTAATTTCCTAGGCAATGCTCCCAGTTACAAGGAGAGAACCAGCTGTGAATTGCTATCCCCACAAGCCACAGCTATAAATACAACTGAAAGATGGTTTGCAGCTATTAACCAGTTAACACTGGTTCATTACAGCCATTTGTGGGAAGAAAATGTCTTGTAATCACTCAATATTGCTATTAATAAACCCAGAGGAATAAAGCCAACAGCTTAGCTGGAAAAGGCATAAAGTGGGCACAAAGTTCTCACTCAAACCACCCATTTGAGCTGCAAGAGCACTACCAAGGGGCTAGTGAGATGTCAGCATAACACAGCCCACATACCCAAGGCAAGGGAAGTCCAAACACATTTTTCAAGGCCAAACCAGTGCGTAAGGTCCCTAGACTTGGAAAGGGAATGAATTCTCTGACTTTCTGGAATAGACTGAAACCTAATCAGAAGCTGCAAGGAGCGGACCACCAGGCAGGTGAGGCAGCATAGCACTGCTGTGCAGGCTTTTAGAGATAAGGCAAAGCAATCCTAAAATACCTACCACTGTCCCTCACCATCTTCATGCAAAAGCTGAATTTCATCCCCATTTTTCACCAGCAGATCCTCTGATCCTCTCCTCTTGCAGTCTGCAAGGGCTTTGTATTTTCCTGGAGACTGTGGCAGAAAGAGAAAAAAGATTATCTACTTGAGCTACATTCAGTATCACACAGCCGTTATTTCTGACTGCCGTGGGGAATGTGCACTAACAGCTACCTTAATTAAAATTGTTTCAAGGAACTGAAACAACTCATCTGATATCTCCTCATTCCCCAAATGGAGATGCAGAAAAATGAAGACATGGAGAAGCTACACCTGTCACCCAGTGAAGCCTACTAAAGCAACACAATCAAAACCTCAAGCTTTGGTGCTTTTTCACTTCTGTACTAACCAGCTGGTTCCCCTCCTCCTCTTCGGTGTCTGAGCAGTTGGAAAGGTACTGGTTACCCGACCACTCCTCCAGCCCCTCACAGATCTCCAGGGACTGTGACATTCCTGGCCAGCCTGCAAGACAGCATGAAGCTCAGCTGGGGAACCCTGTGCCCACACAGTACCCCAAAGGAAGGGAGATGCCATACTTCTGTGGGGTTTGCTCTGGGGTGACAGGAGCACGCTGTCGAGTGGCACTGGGCTGGTGCGCTCCGAGTCGTTCTCTTCTGAGCTTATGGAGGCTCTCTGCTGCTTTCTAAAAGATTAAATATGTATAAATATTAGTTGTACGTGAGAGATGAAACGAATCATAGAATCACAGAATCACAAGGTTGGAAACAACCTGAAAGATCATCTAGTCCAACCGCCTTCCCATTCCTATTAGTACCACAAGCACTAAAACATATCTCATAGCTCCTCATCCAGGCAACTCCTGAACACTGCCAGGGATGGTGACTCCACCACCTCCCTGGGCAGCCATTCCAGTGCCTGACCACCCTCTGAGAGAAAAAGTTTCTCCTCATGTCCAACCTAAACCTCCTCTGGTACAACTAAACTCCATGAAGATTTGTGAGGCAGGATCAGAAATAATTATGGTACTTATTAATATGCTTTTCTGAAGGATCTCAGTGCCCAGTTTCAATTATTGGGTGGACACAAAAAGAAAACTGCAGCTCAGGTTGTGCTGTCAGATGAGTGCTCGCTGGTGCCCCCACCCAGAGCCACCCCAGGGACTCACCCGTCACTCAGCTGGGAGGAGAGGTGGAGCTGGTCAGAGCATGAGCTGGGCTGCTGCTTCTCCACTGTGGGGAGGTCAGACATCAGATTTACATCCTTATTTCTTAGCAGCTGTCGAAGCATTATTTTCAAAGCTAGGCTTTTCAAACAACTCTAATGATTATTGTTTAGAGAAAACCAGACCTAGGGACTATTACAAAGAGCAGATTTAGTTATGATTAAGATGGTATGTTAGCACAAATCCAATAGCAAGCATTCCACTGAAGTCTATGGGACTATAATATGCTTAAAACAAGGCATCTGCTATGAATCTTGTTGAATTAAGCATATGAGAACAAATGTGAAATAACTCTCCACGGTAATAGAAAAAAAAAAGTACTTCTGTAATTCATTTCTACTTGAGCACTCGGCCTTTACAGCTCTTACTTATTTCCCTGTAATGTAGACCTCACTCCAGAACTGTGCTACTGGGTTTCTTCTGAAAATCAATTCTCTGGTGAGAATTAGTGGATTTGAAGATTAGAAGTGTGAAAATAGGAAAGATTCTGCAGCACATTGAATGCCACAGACAAATTGGTCAAATGTACCTTTTATGAGCTCCTGCTGCTTGAATAAAATTTTTCTTATTTCATTTAACCATGCCATCTTCAGATCTACTGTTTGGGCCTGAAAGAAGAAAGAATTGTCTGAATTTTAAATTATGAATCACCCATTATATTGTTTGAATAGAATCTTACTTTTCAATGCTGCAATTATCTGAAATCCCTTTCATCCAAAGCCAACGTTATATTTAAAATATTCTTCATCTTTTTAAATTAATGATCCCACCACATCCAGGCAACACTGCAGAAACGGTGGAGACATCGCTACAACCCAAGGAGTACAGGAAAAAGCACATCTGAGCATGCAATAATTCTCTTTTTAAAATACCCAAAGGGCCAAATCTATCATAGAATCATAGAATGGCCTGGGTTGAAAAGGACCACAATGTTTCAACCCCCTTGCTATGTGCAGGGTCACCAACCAGCAGACCAGGCTGCCCAGAGCCACATCCAGCCTGGCCTTGAATGCCTGCAGGGATGGGGCATCCACAACCTCCTTGGGCAACCTGTTCCAGTGCATCACCACCCTGTGTATGAAAAACTTCCTCCTAATATGTAACCTAAACCTCCCCTGTCCCAGTTTAAAACCATTCCTCCTTGTCCTATCACTATCCTCTGAATATATGTATACCCTACATACATCTGAGTTGAAGTTTGTTGCTGGATTATAACAAGGAGGAAAAAGGACAGCAGAGGGCAAATTAAAAACAAATATCAACAAACAGTATTTTCACAAGAGGTTGTGCTCTGAACACAGCATTAGGCAAATACTTCACTCTTATAAACTTCTATTCAAAATGCTACAAAAGAGGGGAAAATAAACAGGATAAAACCAGGCTACTATTCCACAGACTAGTCAAACTACTGCTGGAAATAGCAGCATGGAAGCTAAGCCTTCACTCTGGGGGCAGTTCCAGCATCTAATTGTAGTAGAGCACGTTCATTAAAGCATGAGGCCCACTTCCCATCTCAGTTCATGTAAGCTGCTAAGCGCAAAAAAATGTTTTTTTCAACTACTGGTCTATTTGAGACTGCATTTGGAATTAAAGGCTCTATTTCCAGGCCCAGCTTTGTCTCCATTTTTACAGCCCTGTACTGGACACTGAGGAGCAGCCACTTGGACAGCTCTGTGAAATGAGACACGGGCAAAATGAAATAGAAGAAATACAAGCTGAATGTCTGATAACCTTATATCCCAAGAAGATCAAGAGGAGACATTTCCATACTACTATTTACAAATATTCAGATCTCTGAAGGTACAAACCTGCACAACGTATACCTCTTCTCTTCCACTATACCAGATTTCAAATTTTCTATGATCCCCCTTCACGTTCTCAGTTATTCCAACTGCATTCATCTGCAAAGAGAAAAGAACCAAAAAATGAAGCATGTTACAAATCTTTCCCCTTTAAAATGAATCCATATGTTTTGCACCATGCTGAATTGGGTGAAAACAGTTTTGTTTAACGCATTTCATCAATTTTCATTTCAACACCAACTGGAAGTCATTATCTGAGTTATTCCCCGATTTCCATCAGCTTGCCTTATTTACCAAAGCTTTCTTATAACCACTAATAGACTTCAGGAGAATTTCTACTCGAGAATCAGTGGAACAAACTGAAAAGTTATCTCACGTCTCTTCCAGCATGACATTTCTCAGATGAGGTATAAGAAGATTATAAATGAATGGTGCATTATCTTCCTACATACTTCATTTGTGCTGTGCTGTATTTTATTTACTTCAAATCCATCTGAGAAGCCCTTAGCTCCTTCGGGAATTTCAGTTCACTCTCTTTTGGCCTCTGACCCATCCGCTGAGCACAACATGCAATTACCCTGTTCCTGATATTGCATAAACTTGTTTCTTGCTTAAAGCAGATTTTGCTAGCAATTCACCACTGATTAACAGATGATCAAGAAGTTAAGTATTCCACTTCCATGTTTTGAAACAGATCTAATAATAATGGTATCATTAATTATTCACACAGGTGGCCATAAGCAAATCCAGTACAAATACAAATAAAGCCTGAGAAAGAACATCTGTTAAACACTGCTGATCCTTTCTGCTAATGTGCATAGTCAGAGCTTTTGTCTGCAAGGCTACAACAGTTACAGGTGGGATCACCCAGTCGAGCTCTCTGTCCCTAGTTATTCTCCCAAAGGTTGGCACCCCATTTCAGTGACTATGAAGAGGAGAAAGGAAGCAAGCTGCTAATTAGCTTTCTTCATTTCTTCACTGGTATAAATAGCAGAGCTCTTCTGAACTTGCAAGAAACTCCAGACTCAGAAAGGAAGGGTACTGAATAGCAAGCAGCATTTCCCAGCCCCTCTTTGTCTCTCATTGTTGTGCACAATGAGGTTTCACCGAAGTCTGGAGGTCTGTACTGACGATTAGAACTGAGATTGATCGCTGACTAAAGCCAGAGACCATTTGCACATCTACAGTCTCGCACATATCCATTCCTATTCAAAAATGCACAGGTTAAAATCTGCAGCATAGCCTTGCTATGAAGGCATTATATCTCAGAAAACTTTGGGCTTGTGCAGTATAGTGCCACAATGCCGTGGAAAGCGAGATCAGGCTCTGCTCTGACTGTAGGCAAATGCAACACTGAGATGTTGAAAGGGCAACCTAGAGAGCACTCATCCAGACTCCCATTTCCAATTCTGTGCTGCCCCTCTGGATTGGTAATTCCACTTGGTGTCCACTACAGAACGGCCCAGGCATCAAGACACCTGGAATTTTAGATTATCCTCTATAAAGACATGAAAGAAGGTACAAGAAATAGGTCTATTTATGCCACATTGATTCATTTTAGAGTATTTTAAAATACTTCTTCCTCCTTCTGAGCAGGATTTACTGTCCCTTCAGCTGCAGTTTGCTGCAATGCAGATGGAGGTGGCTGAGCTTAACGCTTTGGGATGGCATCCATCTGCATCACCTTCCACTGTGACAAAAGGCAGACAATCTACCTTGCACTGCAATGAGTTATGAACCTGCATGCTTCAAGTTACTGAGTATCAGCTGAAGAGATACTTATTGCTGGCTATTTTATGTAACATTTAAAATATTATCTTGCTTTTAAAGTCTGCCTGTTTGGGGAAGTTTTGGGGTTTTGTTTTTGCTGTTTCTACAAATGTCCAGTTACACTGATTCCATGAAATAGCTTTCTTTAATTCTGAATCCCTGCAAAACATTCTTGCAAGGAAAATTAATTCCATGATACTACCACCAATCAACCAAATGCTGAGCTCAGGAAATGTGGTTTTGCCCTCAGGGCAACAATTCTGAGAATGCATGTGTGCAGGGATGTATTAATGCTTCAGCATCCAGGCATTCACTAACCACAACCTCTCACCTTAGCAATCCAAAATGCTGGAAAATGAGCCCCTCCTAGACAAACACTGGCCTCACTGTCTGGACTCTTGAACACAAGATTTTCCCTTCTGAGCAGGTTTCTCCATGCTGCCTCTTCAGTTCTTTCAAAAGCACATAAGGCAAAACAAGTGCTACAGGGAAAACAAGCTCCCCAGAAAGCAAACTATGCTGTTTGGGAAAAGCACTTAAGTAGCTAAACATATGGACTGGGATCGTTTTTAATACACAATTTGTAATGTGCATCGGAGCTGAACAGACTTATCTACTGTAACATCCTTGAAAGGTTTCTGACTGCTGGTGTCATCTCCCTCCCCAGACCCCATGTAGATCAGGGGACTCACAGCATCTGGGCTCAAAGGCTCAGCCTCCAAGTGCCCTTTTTTTTTTTTTTTTTTCCCCTCCATTCTGTGACGTACCTATATTGTTTTTTTATTTATCAAGAACAATGAGGCAGAGTATTAAGACAAAATGCTCATGTTAGAAGTGCTCATCAGACACAATGAGCCAGACAGTCTCTTTTAGAGAAGCAGTTTGGGATTTATATTGACAAGAGTTGGCATTTATAGGCTTGGGACAATTGTTTACATCCCTCCTGTTTAGCCACAGGCTATTCTCCTTGCCTGAAAATTATGCTTCTAGCTGCAGCTGGAGCCTGCCGAAGGAGAAAAGCATAGGAGAGGAAGAGGAGTGATACCCCTCCTCCTAGCTGTGCAGCAGGAGGCTGTGCCTCCTTGGAGACCAGGAACATGAGGAGTCCTGATTCTTCCAAGGGGCTGGGCATGACAGCAGTTCATGATGTCCATTTCATGCTTTCAACCTCTTGTCCTGGAAAGTAGACTAGAGGAGGGAAGAAGGCACATCTCCATCCCTGGGACTTGCCCAAAGCACCGCTTCTCTGACAGATTCCACCCCATAACCCACTACATGTTACTACATCCACCAGCCTTTCATGGCACCTCCATGTGGAGCATTATAGTCCTTGATAGCAGAAACCAAGCCAGTGCACTACTGAAAATATACTCTCTGGGTTCACAAAGTTAACAGTTTACAATCCCCATAGCAATGGCCCCAAAGAAAAAATTCTTACTTTCAGAAAATGCTTAAAACTGTAAGACGAAGTTTTATCATATCCATCTCCGTGATCCTCTCGCTTCTTGCAGAAGACCAAGGCTTTCTCATACAGGAAGAGATGCCTCTGCATTGGCTTGAACCTGGCAAGATCCTTCATTTTTGTTGGACCTTTTCGGTGTCCTGTCCAAACACTGAAAGATCCTTGCATCAGTACTTTTCCTAGTTCACTCAAGTCGCCCTGGTGAAAGTATGACAAATACATATAAAAAAGATTACATCAATTAAAATGTAGGAGGACTGTGCAAACCATGAAGGGCAAAAGGGCCAGCTCTGTTCCAAGGCACGTCACTCTAAGAATAGGTCTTCCTGGAAAGATCAGATGATCTTTTGGGAGTGACGGCATGGTGCCAAGAGGGAAGAAGAGGTCTCAGACACAAGCCCACAGTTAGTCTATGCAAAGGAATACAAGTCAATAACGGGAGGGTAAGAAAACTTGCCAGCACCTAGAAAAGATCATATCAAGGGTTCCCCCACATCAGTGAGATGAGAGCTGAGCCTGCAGAGAGGTTGTGCAGAATGGGAAGAAAAGGATTTTTCAAGTAGGCCAGGAATGCAACCAGCAGCTCAGCCATCCACTCATCCCTCCCTGAATCCCTAGGAAGGACTGCGACTTCAACAGGCAAGGATCAAAACCTACTTCAGGGTGTATTTAATTAAAGGTTGAATGAGAAATATTATGATGACAGCCCAGCTCAGTTACAAGGTGAATCATTTGAGTACTAAGGTAGATTCTGAAAAAATGCTCCCAGGAACCACAAGGTGGCAAGTGTGGGAACTATGCAACTCCACATATCGTTTGGATGGGAATAGCTTCCAAAATCCTGAAATCAAATGGAAGACTGACATCTATAAGCTTCCTGATGCCATTCAGTTTGTAACTGTTCTAATGTGGTTTTCAGTTCCTACATCCTGGGACACCATCCACTTCCAGTACATCAACCAGCATTGTACAAGTTCTCTAATTACTGAAATCTACTCACGTCATATCCTGTTATTGAAATCTGATGCATAGAGTCATTGACTGATTTTAGCAAATCCAGCATTGCAACCAGAGCTTCTTGAAGTTCCTGAACTCCATCACAGCTTGTGCTGTACTTTAACAACTCCTGAAAATAGAAATGGAAGAGCATGTGCTTGCAATTGAACAAAGCAAACTCTTTTCCAGCTCACCCAAAGTTTCCAATGTCCAAGAGCAAGCTGCACTCCCTGAGTTTCTTCTTTCATATGTCAATGGAAAAAGCACTAATTGTAAACCAGTCAGTATGAGGTGTGGAATATCACTGTCCATTTTCTCTTGGTTTCTTTGAGGATGGCATCAGGTTACAGAGTGGTATCACTCTTACCTGAGTTCTTTGTGTTGCCTTTTCCTGCTTGATAAGAAATGGCAAATATGACTAAGGTTTGGCATCAGCTGCTAATACGTCACAAATGCATTCATATGAGTTTGCAGTAGATGACTGTCTTCAGCAGACAGAAGGAAGATTTTATAAATCCTGGAGCCTTCAAGCCAATAAGCAGAAGACAGAATTGGCAACACTATGACTGATATAAAATTATTCTCATTTCATATCTCCTCTGCCTGCTTATCGCCTCATGTGTATTCATTCCTCATTCAAGAAGCTGGAAGGTGAGATTCAACTACCTTCAGAAGCTACCACCCCAGTTCTCTGTAAAGTGGGAAAGTCTCTGCATCAGAATGAGGACAAAAGGATGAATGCATTAAAGATTATGGGCACTACAACAACACAAGCAGAAGAGATGAATCAACATGGTACGTTTTCATTCATCATACCCTTATGGACATCTCTGGTTCATTTTTCTTACATTTTACATCTCTGAACAGATTCAGTTCTTCTCCCCACTAAAACAACATGTTAAAGGACACACTCCTCCTTCAGGTATGAAAAATGTCAACCTTGCTGAACGTCACTTTGGAGAGCCAAGCTAAGCAACACGTAACCTAAGGCTTTATTTAGAGATAAACTTTAACTGAAAAATAAAATGGAAAACAAATCTATCTCCAAATGTCATTTCAAAAGCAGCGTATGAAATACCTTCAGAAGCAACTGGTATTTTGTCAGGCGTTGCACTGGTTTGAGCAAATAGGAATCCAGCCCAAGTTTGTGCTCTAATTTTCTTTGGCACTCCTGAAACAAAGAATTCATATTAGGTAAGATATGTGCTAACAATCTGTAGTTATTCTAGCAGCATGAGTAATATGGTTTGAAGACTTCAAAGATTTGATGTAAGAATGTCCGATAGTTCATATAACGAAAGAGATTTCGTAAAAACACACAATATGGATGGATCTGCCTTAAATTCTTTGTATACAAGCAACTCCAACTGCCACTTTTGTGCAGCTTTCATGCAGTGGCAAACAGAATAAACTGCAAAAACAGTGGAGTGCTGAGAATGGTATTTAGGATAAGCGCCCCAGGACGACACTGCCTTGATAGCAATCAACACCTCACCTGGAAGAAGGTGCTCTCAGAGCACTGCCTCCACAGGGACTCTGACCGGGGCTTGTTCTGACAATATTTCTCATACATCTGGAAATCCTCTCGCTGCAAAGAAAGCCAGAAGGCAAGTCAGGCACATGCATGCAAGCCTGCTGGGCAGCTAAATAGAAGGAATACCTGAACTGCAACGTGCTTTTATCTCTGCTTCCAAGTATACATCTGAAAGTCAGAGTTCAGGTAAAAGAGCCACTGCTAAGAAGCAGAATGCTCCTTGAAGCAAGTAGTCATGACTGCTGCTTTTCCCCATCTGCTGCTGTCCACACAGTTGCATTCCCTCCCTTGCTGTTGGAATTACATATCAGAAGCACCTCATCCAACTGACACAACTGAGATATTGAAGAGTGCAAAGCACAGCAGAAACACTGGCCTTAAAAAGTCTGTCTTATATGTGAAAATGAGTCACCAACCCTGTCTAGGAAACAAAATCCCACTCTCTCGGGTGCTCCCAGGCAGCTTTCCAAACTGTGCAGGAATATTCTGCAAGAGACAGGGGAAGAGACAAAACGCAGCTGTGACCAAGGTACTTCTTGGGTACTTCATCATTACAGGAAATCAGTGAGGCAAAGAGGGGGAGGAGAGCCAGCACCATACTTGTTGTGGAAGTCATATATCTCAGGCATGTTTCCAAAGAGGACATCCTTCCTGTTCCTCAGCACGGGAGGCATAAGGATAACCATGGCAGGGTTGTCCATCTCAGCTCTGTAGCCCTGCAGGATGCAAAATGGGTTAACTGCTCAGTTTTTCAGGCTTTTGCTTGGCACTTCCCAAAGGTAGAGAACAAAGGGATGTGAGCAGACTTCCAGTATAATCTACTTCATTTCAAATTTCTACATCCCTGTCTTCTAGCACATCAGCCTTCAGTACATTGGCAAGTGGAGCTGTGATCCAGCAGAGAATGGCATGGGACAGCTTTTTCCTGGGGTGAGTGAATGCTGTAGAGATGTTCTAACCACAAAAGGCAAACTGCAGTCACTTTCTGCTCACTACAGCCCAACTGATCCCACGGGAATACTTGTCTGGGTTAAACACATCTGCTGTTATGACCCTGGGACACAAGTGACAAACGTGTTTGTACAGAACGTGCAGTTACAGACGCTGTCACAAGATCTGGCGTACAAGGTGATTTGTTACAGAGCAGAGAAGGCTTGAGATCAAATACCAAAATCAATGAGCTTTTTGCTCTTGCACAAGACATGCTGAACAGCAGGATCTTGCTCTCCTCAATTCCTGCTGCCTCAGGAGTCTGTCCCCTATTGCCCCACCTGCCTCTTGCAATCACAGCCTCCCAGAAGGAAGCCTTTGCTGCCAACTGCTGGGTGGAATTAGCAAACAGTGCAAAGCTCTCTGCAGGAAAATGACATTACTACACCAACACAAAACCAGCTACCAGATATGGTAAATATCCTAAATGTAGAAGAGGAGGAAGGCAGAGCCAGCACTCAGGACCATCTCTGCAAAGAAAATAGCAAAAAGCTATTGGCAGCAGCTCAGGCAGCTCATGCCAGTCACTAAGTGCTGCACAAAACTGAGGTCAATTTAATACAAGTAGAAAATGTTTGCTAAAACATACTTAGTATGTATGGCATATCTTCTTTGGCTTTTCATATTAATCTCTTATATTAATTATGGTTTAAATCAGTATTCCTTCCACTAAGCAGGCATTCTGTATTTGATTAAGGATGCAGCAGAAGATAAGTATCTGGAAAATTAGTCATTTTTATTTAACCACTGCAAGGAGGCTTCACTCTTCTATGGAAATGTTATTTTCTGACAACTTAGCTTGCCCTATCCACTGTCCCCTATCTAGACTGGACACAGCAATAAACCCACATGCCTGCCAACTGCTTTATCACATCAAGTGCAGTTTAACAAAACAAAAGCCAGCCAGTGCAAGGCAGTTCTGTGTAACTACCTGCAGCTGAACAGATTCATATGGCGCTTGTTCTCAGGTCAGAGAAACGTAATCAGGATGAGGTAATTAACAGTGACTTGCTTCATTCATCAGCAAGTGGCATTGTGGAACAAAATACATGTGTTCAAAATAGCAGCAGAGAAATTAGAATCTGCTTTCTGGATTAAGAAATGCGCTTTATATATCCACAAACCTCAAAGCATCGAGACAGAAACCTTCCAAACATAAAACACAACCTTCTTTCATCTCCAAAAGGTAAAGAACTGAGGGAGCAGTTAAAAAACACCAACTCTTTGTACATTTTCACAAGCAGTGATAGAACTAATTACCAGTGCATGTGTGTACAAACAGAAGGCTTCTTCCTCATTCTGGATGAAAAGTTCATCCTGACACCAACTGTTCCTGCAGATGCCTCCTACTTAGAAATAGAAAGGGAAAAAACTTGAAAATTCATGACTAGCTGGGGGATCTGACAGTTTGGTAGAAACCTGTCCTGTCACATTTCTGCTTAGTTCGACAGAGTGGCAGGTGCTCTTTTGTACAAGTCACCGGGGAGCAGTAATGAGCAATCTGAAGAAGTCACTCACCGTCAGAACAGTGAACAGTTCCTCTACATACACTCTCTCAGTTTCTATAAGCTCATTTATGACATGGCTACAAGAAAGAAAAAAAGAAAAAAATATTATGTCTGCATTAAAAAAAAAGCACAGCAATTTGTGCAAGCCCAAAACACAATGTGACCTCATTAACAACCAACGTAGGGATGACAAAATAGGCAAAAGTGCAAGAGATGACATCAAGCACTATGATGCACCACCTATAATGGTGAAAGGGCTGACCAGAAACACATCATTCAGAGTGATTTAAACAGGGTGAAAGCTTACCCTTTCAGTATATCTAAGTTGTCATCACTGTCTGAAATAAAAGACTGCAAGGAATTCCGTTTTTCCTGATAATCGTGCATTACTTCAATCTGGAAAAGAAATGGGATGGACCTGAAGGAGCTGCAGAAAGGTCACTGCAGAGGCAGGATAAACCCAGCCCTTAGTGGAGCTACAGAATCTTGGGGAAGGATGAAATACGCTGTTTTTTTTAAGAAATCCTTTGCGCCACTGAACTTCAAAAGAGCAAAGCTTCTACTGGGCAGCCAAAAAGTCACAGAAATTTTTATACTACGTAATATCTGGAAGTACTGACAACATTCATTCATGCAGAAACCAGAGAATGATCCCCACAGGGGAAATAATTGACATGTATTTGTAAGACTCTGCATCCACACAGTTATGCAAATTCAGGGAACAACACACAGGAGAACCATATCTGTTGCTTGGCAAAACAACCCAAGATAGAACTCAGATGCTGGGCAAATCCAAATAAACTACAGGGGCAAGAAAGGTCAAATATTTTTAAAATTAAAAACAAACAAACAAACAAAAAACTTCCTTCACATCCCAATCTGAATTCAGTCAATTTTTCCCATTTTCAGATGGGTTCTTAGTCTATAAAACACATTCAGATTTCGCTAGCAGTTATTACCTTGCGAGAACTTGGAGTTTTTCTTGATGTTTTCTTCCCAGGGAGAGAGAGGTCAAATGAAAATTTCAAACTGGAATTAAAATCCACACCTTGGATAGAAAAAAAAATAATCATTCCATAATGTACATCTATTGTGACAGAGATGGTTCAGAGAGCTAATAAGTCACAAAGAGAAATGGGATATATTTTAAGAACGAGTGATTAATTAGCAAATACTGCAAGCAAAGTGACTCATCAGACAGAGCTTCAAACCCAGGGCTAACTTGAAACAGGAATTGGGTGTCCTCAGACCACAACAAGAAGAAAAAGAAAGGAAAAGAGGACAAAAGTAATGCACTCAGAGGTGGTTTGGTTTCAATCTACGCCATCAAACCCACACATCTCAAAGCAATCCTGGCGGAGCCCAGCATGTGTCTTTGACACTGTGCATTGCCCCAGCAGGACAGCAGCATTTTGATGTTTGGTGTCAAATGGAGGCCTTATTAAAAAGCTCTCTCGGTGTGATCTATCCAGAGAAGAACCTTTTGTCTTTCCCCTCTTGCTGGCTGTGCTCATTTCAACATGCCTGATCACTTCTTTCAGGAATATGATTAATGGAGGATACCTGTGCTTTGTGATGGAGTGCCTTTCCTAGAAAAATGAGCATCACATGAAGGCAGTGCAACGAGCACGTCTGGCCGATGGATGATGGCCTCACAGCATCCCACAGAGGTGGTCAGACACTTACCCCTATTACTGAAACCACTGATTTCTCCTTAACACTTTCCTGCTTCTAGAAAGCTGAAAAAACCTCTGGTAAAATGGGCATTATTTTGGTTTAAAGATGGAGTTTTTTCGTTTTGTATGGAAGCTCAGAGGGCAAGCAATGTGGCATTGGCTGGAGATGAGAAAATCCAGGCTTTATTTGCAGCAGTGGCCTGTATACTGAGTAGCTTCATTCCCCTCATTCCACTAGCTTTCTTATTTACACTATTAGCTCCCTGAATTGGAGCCACTTTTACTGCTTGTATGACACCTGTAACACCTGTACAATTCACCACAGCCAATCCACACTAATTCATCATAAACAAATTTGTATCAAAGCAGATCAATGGTGTCTGATCATTTCATGCAGTCAGCTCACGGAATTTAACATTCCCACATAACAGCATATTTAAAATACGCCAACACTGCTTTAAAGTACTTCTGAATACTGATACATAAAGGGCTGCTAAAGTTGGAAGTTTTAATGATTCCATTTAACGTTAACATTGTGCTACATCTCATTAACAAAATGAAGGCAGAACATGGAGCGACCTCAGTTCAACCAGAACTGGTACCTTTATGGGCATTAATTATTCCACAATTGGGATTTAAGGATGACATTCTCAAAGAATCAAAGGCAGTTGAACATCCAGCTTGTCACTTATGTTCATGAGATTCAGCTCCTCATGTATCTAAGCTCCTTTGCAAACGTCAATCTAATTTTATGTCAGTTCTAGCCCAAGACAATTAAGGAGATTGTCACCAAAAACAGGCATATAAATAGGCTTCAGGGTATGGAATGGGTTCACAAATTTATATGTTTTTTTTCCCCCCGTATCACTAGTTCATCCAAGTAAAATGCTAGGAAAACAGAAGTGGAAGTAGACACTGCTTTCAGCTGACTTTTTTCACTGAGCAGCAAGTGAAAACAAATACTGGGCAAGCAGTCTCACCGAGCCAGCCAGAGCTGTGTTCCTGCACAAGGAGTGCAAAAAACCTTGCATTCATTTTATCAAGTCATCTTTCTCCTTTCCATATGGTCATCTCTTAGAAGTAAGAGAACATACTAAGATATTTGGTAGCTCCAACACGTTAGAGTTCAGAAAAATATTAAACACCCAGGAAACCACGGGAGCCCTTCTCATAGCTGGGAAGTGCACGAGGAGCCAACGCAACAGCACAGAGTGATTCATGACCAACTAGCCCACGTATTCAGTGTGAGGCTTCCACACCCCATTTCTTAAACAGAAATGGGAAGCGAGGCAAAAATTGGAAGACGAGTAAGTCATATAATATACAACTCTACAATCAGGAGTAAGCACTGGTTGGTTTCTCAAGTTGTGTTACTCATCCTGAAAATGATTATCTGAAAATAACATGAAGATACTTTACCATGTTTAGGAGAAAATAATGGTGACTTTGATCGTGGTGGGTTTTCTGGCCGAGGGGCCACTAACTGGACGGGACGCACGTGCTTATCCAACAGCTTCTTGAAGCAAGACTGACGATTCTCAAACATGCTTCGAACATTTTCAAGCTTCACCTGCACTGACTGTATCTGGCACTGTAGAGTGAAAAAGACTTCTATGATCAAATAACTACTGCTATTTTGCACTTGGAACCACAACAGAAAATTAAAGCTGATAATGCTGCAGCGCAGTCAGATTTTGCTTTTCACTTGGGTAATTGGGGTATTGGCTTACCTTCAATTCAGCTGTTAAGACTGACTCAAAATCATACTGTAGGGATTGGGGATCATAGTTTAAGTAGGATGAAGAGCTTTCAAGAAATCTTTCTATGTCCTGGAGAGCTTTCTGAGCACCTTCTTTAGACTGGCACTTGTCCATCTGCTGGTTGGCAAGCAGGTAGGCACCCTCATCACAGCACTGCAGGGCCTGGGGGAAACACAGAGTGAGAGCCCCTGCTAAATCAAGGTATCCATGACAAGTATCATTTACTAGCTCCATATTTTCAACGTGGAGCTCATCAGTACTCGTGAAAACACGAACAGCTATTGCATTTTGACCACTAGCACAACCAGGAGTGCAAGGAGCCCAGGAGAGGGCTCTGCCCCACAGCAGAGATGCTGCTCCACAGATTAATCCCCACAGATTAATGCAACGTTGTAGTGAAGAATGCAGGGGGGAAAAAAAAAAGTTTCCTAATTATCCTAAACAGTGAAATGGAACAGGGTCAGACTTCATTGCTTTTCTCAGCAGCCTCAAGCACGCTAAAGTTGTGTGCCTTCTGGTCTAATTAGCATGAATTTCTCCAAATGTATTTTGGATGCTGATTAAGATATCAACGAGCAGTGGAGCCACATGACTTCCACACTAACACAGAGCAGCTGTGCCTATCTACCAATCTGTCATCTTATTTTAAAGTCACTTGCATTCATTCTTAACAAATTGCTAATAAAAAAAACACAGAGTTTATTTGAAAGCATTACCTCTACTGCACTGGGTATGGAAACTTCAGAAGTCAATTCATACGTGGATGCACCGTGAAAGTGTGAGCCACAGAAGCTAACTTCTGGTGTTCTGAATTGCTTTCTAGAGATGTCTTTTTTCTGCTGACTGTTCACAGCACCAGCAGACACCTGTTTGCTAACTTAACCAAGTCAAAGCACTCTCCAGGCTCTGGAGGAACACCTGCCTAACACAAATCACTGAAGCAAAGCTGCAAACTGTAGATGCTACCAGCTAGTAGAGAGGCTAACCATCTGCTCCAAGGGGCACCGTATCTCTGAGCTCTACCTGCTGAAGGCGAGTATGAAGATCCAAGGTCTTCTGCAGCCGCAACTGCTTCCTTTTAATCTCGTCAGACAAGACATCAGAATGGTGCCGCAGCTCGTTGCATTGCTGGCAGATTAAGTTGAGTGCATAGTGATGATTTGCTGCTAGCTGGTGTCCATGTAGTATCACCACTTGAGCCTTCCCTATCAGATCCTTTAGCGAAAGGAAGATAAAAGATTGCATGCTTACTGAAATAATGCCAAAATATCAACATATAACAACATGCACTTAATCTTCTTACCAGATTTCAGGTACACATAGAGATGACTGCCATTAGGAGTAGCCAGAATAGGTGGCTTATGCAGGATAAAATGGCACCCATCATCTGGGGAAAAAAAACTTTTGCCACCCAAAAGAAGGATGAAGATGATGATAGTATCTCACTAAGCTAGCACTGCTGTGAATGACTGCTGGCAATGCATTGCTGCCATTTGCAGGAAATGCAGTCTAAAAAAGGCAGCTGATGTCCAGTTTAGGCACACTATGCTTGTAAGCATGACAGAGACTTTAAGCAGCTACAACAAAACAAGTCAGGCTCTTTGTAGTAGAGTTTGATGCAAAGAACATGCTGGCTTGCCTGCAGCTCCTGGCGAGTGCAATGATTACATCTTCCCCACTACCAGCTTTCTGCTAGGACTGCTTCCCTGCTGCATAGTATGCCTGGCTATTTGTTCTTCTTACCTCGCTCAATAAAACATCTTTCAAAAGGCAAAAAAACAAAACCCTCAGACATTCCCACTAGGGCTCTTGTTCTTAAATAAACCTCTAGGGGTTGTGTCTAAATCCCTAAGGACTTCTCTATAGCTTCTGGCCCACTAGTTAAGCACTGCCCTTTGCAGAAGTCACATCCTCAGTGGGGCTCCTGTGAATCATCTCACTTCACTCGTCTTTCTGCTGCATCTCTTTAGTCTTCCTCCTCCATATGTTACATTCAAATCACAGACGCTTAAAGATAGCGATTTTTTTGCCTCTCCATGTGCCTGGTAACAAGTCTCTGTCTATTAGCACTGCTAAAAGCACTTAACATATAAATAATTCTTCTTCCAGCTCATTAACTCCCACACTTCCCCTATGTTCAGACATTCATCTTCTCTGGATTTTCATGGTGGCTCAGCAATTTATTTTAACTACGATAATTAAATATCCTGTTCCTGGTTTTCAGTGTGATCACAGCGTTGCTGCAAAGAGCACGAAGACATGAAATCAATCTTTTCCTCCATCTACTTACCAACAAACTGCACCAGAAACAGGCCATTTTAGAAAACACCTACCACCAGTACAGAGCGTGCTTCTTACGTTTCATTAGTGCATCTGTCTGTGATAGATGTACTCACCTGAGCCATACCATCAAAATGATTCAAGTCCTTCAGCCTCTGTTTCACTTGGGAGACACTGTCTCCAGTGTCGGGCAGTTCTGCTTGTTGACCCATTAAAAATTCAATGGCATTCTTGACCTAGACATACACACCCAAACAAAAAGACTGCTGCAAAATGATACAAAGCACAGACAGAAAATCATTCTCAGTTCAAAATCAATTACACTTTAGGCGACTGTTAAATCCAGTAATAAAATGAGTTTCCAAGAGCTCATTTCTACGTTCAAAGATGCTTCTTCTCAGGTAAATCTACGTGGCTGCAGGGCAGTGATACCCAAATTAGCTCTGAATGAGGAAGAACAGCAGTCTTCCCAAGTGAGTTAGCCCTGCTAGTCAGAGTTAAGGAGCAGCAGCATAAATTAAACACTCTCAAAATAGAAAGCATAAAAATCTCTCTCTTCTCCCCCTTTCCCCAAATCTTCTTCTGCACACAGAAATAGTGCATCTGTTAATACCTCTTGAAAACTTTGCTCAAACTTCCACAGTTGTAAATACTGCTCCATTTTCAACTGATGTTTTTCCCAGAAGCCATCAAAAGCAGTTTCCATTTCCCGCAGCTGCCCGAGCAGCCTGGAGTACAGAAAAAATACAGGATTAGGACAGATGGACATACAGATGGACAAGCCCTAGAAAGACAGTCTACTCAGGACCCCAGCTCATCTCTCAGGAGAAATGAACTGATATATATAATCTCAGTGGCTTCTCATGAAATCATCACTGCAGATGACAGTACCTGGGTGAAGAAGTTGTTGCCATCACCATTTAATCAGAATAAAATCTGAGAGCCCTGCATGGGGCTGAATCTGTTCCACAGCCCCATCACAAAGGCTGGAAAAAACATCAGAGTAGGTCAAAGTTGACAGAAATCAGCCAGGAAATCAATGGGTATGGAGCAAAGCTGGTATTCTGTCTGTAAGTTTTTGATAGATACATCCATGCTGAAATGGCCCACGTTTTCACTCAAAGATCAGGCAAATTAGCAACATGCTGCACTCACCTATTCACAGTGTCCCAGTCTCCAGGCCTCTCACGATGCTGGTCCTGGCTGCATTCACCCACATCAGGCTCTTCTAAATTGCTTAAAAGCAACTTTCCTTCTTTTGTGACTGCTGTAATATCTTCCTGCACAATACAAAACATTTCTGATTCAGGCCACTCTGTGGGAGGTAAGGGTAAGGCATTTCGTGTTGCTCTGTTTTCTGTTTCTCTGCCATAAGTGGAGCACTGGTACCCATCAGAGCAAAGGACTCCCAACAACATTTAGCTCCCTTAATCCTTGGATGTGGGAGAGGCTGAACTACAGACTGGTCACCGCACTGGGTGGGAACTGGCAAGCATGAAAATATGAGACCACAGAATGATTCAAGATGCACAGCACTACCATGGAGCAGTGAGCAGGAGGAATTGTATTAAATATTTATCTGCAAGTCCATGCTTTCATTCAGGTATTTCTGCTGTTTAGGGATGTGCTTTTCCGTGATGAAATGTTGCACAGCATTCTTTAGTGTGCAGGTGGCTGCTATTCCACCCGGTTACATCTCATTCCCAGAGCCCTAAATTCTCCTTTTGATGCAAAGCCTTTCATGATATGTCAGACAAAGTAGCTGAACTGTCTAACAGGTGCTAACTTGATTTTGTCCCATTCAGGATATCAAAGAGGTTAATTTCTCAGTTGCTCCGTTTAATTAATTTCTGTCAATTTTTCATCAGCTTTGCATCTAGCTTTTGTTCAGTACTACAGCTACATAAATTATTCTGATCAACTCATTATTTGGTCGCAGGAATCAGCTGCACCCATCTTGTGGTTGTCAAGAGCCATATAGGGACCCCACGTCTCACAATCTGCACACAGTTTCTCATCAGCTTTCATCTTTCATGGTCTCAGAAGAAACAAAACAAAACAAAAAAAGCCAGTGGAACCGATTTCAGCCAGAAGCCCAAGAATGTTTTTGATATTTTAAATTAATAGATGTGGCATTAAAAGCAACAGATGGCTTCTACTAAGTGCTGCTGTGCTTTATATGCAAATGAAAACAGATAATGTGCCGTATTTCACCCCAGAGAAAAGTGTGTACAGCTGACTTGTTTATATGCAGGACTAAGTTGGGTAACCCATATTTTCTCGCTACGCTTTGGACACAATCTGAAGCACAAAGTCTTATTCAGTCATACATCAACATATGCAACTGCTGTTGTACTACAGCTCTGTTCATTTCCAAAGAAGAAATAAAAGACTTGCATTAGCTATAATCGCACCTGCTGTATATGTGTACATGTCTATTCAGACACTACTAGATACAGCATCCTTCAGATGTCATTTGGGGTATTTCTAACTGAGAAATCACTTTCACAAGGACAACAAATGATTATAAATGAGAATAGATACTCTTGCTTGATTTACATGAATGAATAAAGCAAAGGATCTCATTCTTCAACTGCACAGCACTGCTATTAGCATGGGAAGCGTTATGAATTGAGGGCCTGGGGATGTGCCTATGCTGTCCCCAGGAAGATGCAGGAGCATCTTTCAAAGCTGCAAAGACAGCAGCAGCTGTCTGCTCTACATCTTCCACTAAATCCTACAAAAATATTCATCAGTCACAATAGCTGAAAAAAATCTTAAAATATTAAAGAAAAAAGTTGTTTTATGTGAAACATGAAGGCTCAGCGGGATCAAGCCCAGCATGCTCCGAACTATACGCTCACAAGAAATCTTCACCTTGAATGCCCTCAAGCAAACACAGCTTCCTTCAGACCCCTGGGGCAGCTGCACTCAGTAAGTTGCAGCTCTGCATGGAGGAGGAGGGAGCTGAGGAAAAACCATCTCCCCAGACCCACTGACGATCCTTGTGTGCAACTTTCTGCAGCACTGAGAGTGAAGCAGAGGAAGCCCCACCAGCCTCCTTTCTGCCAGAAGGATGAGCAAAGACCAGAGGAACAGCACATTTCAGACATCAACTTCTGTATCCAGTAAAGAGCCAATGCTGAGACAGTTTTCTGGATGCCAGCATGATAATTTACTGGAATGCCTGGCAAATATAAGTTTAACATACAGACACAGTCATGCTGTGTTCTATTTTGTCTGCCACCACATACACTTGCATGGGAGGGACAGAGGAGTGGGTATCAAACCAACAGACAGTCAAACCCCAGAAATCCCATCTTGCTGTGCTTCTGATGAGCCATACCTTGAGCTGGAAGTACTTCTCAGTGCGCAGAGCCAAGATGCGCTCAATGGAATACATGTCTTCTGGGAGCTCAGTCTCTGCCAGTTCTGTGCCAAAAGATTGTAACATCTGTGCAATTTCCTTCACGGTTAGTGCAAAATTCTCTATTGCCTGGTGGAAGACAATAATTGAGATCAGACTGGGATTTAGAACATTGCTACAGCTCATAAGGAGTGCACTAAAAGCCAAGGCTGAGATCTGCAAGAGAGTGCAGCATCCGACTCTTAGAAAAATAGCTGAGAGGCCCACTGATGGTGGAGCTGCTGTGTGCTAACAGTGGCCATCAAGACATTGCCAGCTGGCTTTTAGCACAGCTTGAATCCATAACAAGGTCTTGAAGCAGTAATGGACACAGACACCTCATGTTTTGTTTTCTGCTGCCTGTTCTTGTGCACTGTCCTACCATTCACTGAAGGTCTATGGAAGAAGCCACCGTGGGATCCATCACACAAATTACTGCAACTCCTCATCTACCATACCTCTCCTCTGGCTGACCCACACCATGAACCACCTCCTGACAGCAGAACTTAAGAAAGGTCTTTGGCCTTTTGGTCATGGACCAAAAGGCTTCCCAGACTTGCAAGCCAAAGCAGTGGTTGACACTGCAGCTCTGGCTCTGCTTTTGGAATCAGGGTAATAAATTTTAATGCAACTGAATACATTTGTATTTTCCTTAAACTGCATATTTAACAAGGAAATTTCAGCAAGTGTTTTAAAAGCACCTTACATGGGAATTTTTTGAGGCTTTTAACATGGACACTTATCTAACACATGCAGATATGTTCTAGAAGCTCATCTTTTTCTTAAATTACCCTAACATTTTTGTCATTTATTTTGTCATTTTTGTCTCAAAGTGTGAGAGCTATGTCATTGTCGCTGTAACACATTGTGTAAAAGAACAAAACTAAGAGCCAAAAAATTTTTAAAAGCACGACGGTGGCAGTGCATCCATGCAAATGGGCAGAAACTGGCAGAAGCAATAGCTTGAACCACTCCAGCAATGATGTTTTGGGCTTTTGTTTTCACACTGAGTTCCACAACTGTCTGTGTGGAGAATGGTGCAGGACTGGGGGCACAATGATTAGTCTCAGACACTTTCATTAGTGCTTTGATTTGTTGGAAAGGTGGCTGGAAACTCAACCTGCCATTATAAATCCATTCAGTGCTTAACTCCGCTTGACTCCTTCGCAAACCTTAACAAGGAAAGGTGGTTGCTCCAGAGGTTACTCTCAGCTATGCACTGCTCACTGCTTTACAGGAGATGTTTAGCTGGGGATCAGGCCTTTCCCAGCAGATTCCCCACACCTGGTGTTGAGCCCCGTTACTTACAGTCCTGAAGATGACCCACTCGCTGTGGCAGTACTCCAAGGTGCCTCCAAACTCTGGGGTTAGCTGCTGCTCATCAATATATGTCAGCAGGTCACTAACCGAGCTCAGCATAACAACCTGCAAAGAAGGCAACTCAATCAGCTGGTTGATCATTTCCACCTAAATCATACGTGGATCAAGCCTAGAACTCTTTTATGGATGTAAAAATTGAGTTTTCTCTATATGTTGCTTTTTTCTTATGTTTATGGCTTAACAGCTCTTATAGATTTGACCACTTTCCGAAGGAATCCCTGATCTTCCAGGTGCTTTCTTTCTTAAATACAAAGTACAGTGAGATACTCAGTGTGTGCCTGAATATCAGAGCTGAAAGCAGAAGTAATGTAGGTTTTGACAAGAGATGACAAGTAACCTGGAAAAATATAAAAACTGGAATATGTCATGAAGCACTGGCCATCTTCACCTAAATACAGGCCTCATGAGTTTTTGGGTGTCCTGATCTTCCCTGTTATAAGTCATGAATTTTCAAAACTATGGAACTGACAATCATTTTAGAGTGAAAAATGCACTATTTCTGAAAAACTCCTACAGGAAAATACTGGTTTGCTTCTGGGAGTTTGTCCTTGTGCCAACCTTAGATTCCATAAATGTACTTTTCTTTTCTTAGCTATTACGTCCATTAATCAAGGTGGCTATAGAAGCTTTGGAAAGTTTGACTTCAGAACGTAAGAGCATTTCAGTTGCTATTTTAGAAACAAATAGCAACACGATGTTGGTATGGTGTTTACACTGAGATGAAAATGGTGATTATGGGTGGAATCTACAGCAAAAGCTTTGCTAGATGTCTCTTGGCATTTCAGACATTAAAAAAATTCCAGAGCATGGTTTCATCCTCTGTGGATGCATACATCCTTTTGGAGCGGGGAGAATGGGCTGATAAAATCAGCTGTTCTGCAGGGAATAAACTGTGCACAGGCAAGCAGAAAACTGCTACAGGAGAGATTTTGTAGAAACAGAGCAATAATGGTAGAAACGCTCCAGTTACTCCTCACGTCAGTGCCTTCACATCACCCCCATCCCAAGGTTCACAGGCAGCCAACAACCACACACAAGGCACAATGCTCTGCACGCTCATACCGGTAACTTGAGCAGAAAATCCTCCTGACTAAATCGAAATCCAATGTCAGTGAAGGTGCGCTGGAAAAACCCTGTGGGACGAAGAACCATCACCAAGTGCAGGTTCCCTGGGAATGATGCCTGCAGGAAAACAGAGAGAACATTCAACCTGGGGATGCAGCACCTCCAACTGCTCCCAAACACCTTGAAAAGATGAGAGATGATTAAACCTGATGATCTTTTTCTGATTGTCCCCAAGAGCCTTTTCTGAATTCCATCACAGGCTGGACTATGCACTATCTAACACAGGTGTAACTTGTCATCTGCTCTTGCTGGCCCAGCTTGAGAGCTTGCCTGCTGGACTCAGATCCCACCACTAGCAGCAATGCTTCTGCAGGCTCACAGCTGTGTGTTTGCAAAACTGGAGGGTGACACAAAGTGGCTTAGAGATACGGGACAATTGCAGGAGGACTGTGCAGTCCTACTTCCCCTTTGAACAAGCAAGTGGTTGGGCAAGTACCTGGGAGGGCTGCTGGTAGTACATTTAAAAAGAAGTACTGCAGTCAGCACTATAAATGAGGGAACAAAATTCTGTCTTAAAAGGGAACAGAGGGGCGGAACTTTGAGGGCAATGAGACAGACTGGGAGTGCAAAATTTATACCCAAACTTGCTTCACCCATATCTATACCAAGCACACTCTGCTTGCCCCAGCTAATTATCAGGCGACATTTAATTTGTGGTACTATTTCAGAATTTCCTGTCTATGCTACCAGTGACTTTTTTTCAAGCATATGTTTTTGGCAGGTGCAATTATAGATAGATCTGCAGAAAGGATGCTTGAAAATGAAAAAGAATTTTTGAGAACCTAGGAGTCATATCATTAAATTATGGATAAGCCCATGATGAAAATAACGGAGTTAATGAAGATGTATCATTTTATCTGAGATCCAAACCAGGCCAGGTTACATTCCTCCCTATATCTTCCTTATTTGAACTTCAGAACCCTAAAGCTGTCAGAGCTGTAGATATGAGGGCTTTTTGGCTCTCCCAGGTGCAAAGGTAACCCAAGGGACACTAAGTGGTAGTGGAGTTCTAATTCTACATCAATATAAAAATAAGTTTTCCTCGAATAGACAAACATCTAAATCCATTCAAGAGCACTGGGTGAGCCTTCCCACTACATAAGCACAGCATGTGCATGCCAAGAGCAAGACCATATGGACAATTCCCCATCTCCTGCTCTCTCCAACAGCAAGACCCTGTTGAACAACATGCTCTCCTTCCCAAAGCCCCAAATTGCCAGATGTGATAGTGGAGTATACACCAAGAATACTGAATATATTTGGATATTTTGCACAGTGCCTTCAAGACAAAGACTGCTCCCATAAACATGCATTAGCATTGTTTGAAAAAGCCACGATTTACAATTGAGATCTGATATCCATGAACTGCACCACTACTCAATGGCTATGTTTTCTTTTGTAGGAAAGGTCAAGTTGTGATTTCTTTTACCTACAACTCCAGTTAGAAATGGACAGTGACTTTTAGGATTAAACAAGCCACATAGATTCAATATATCGATCTGCAGCTATTTTAGGTAAGAGCAAAAAAATATATAGAAAAGAATGTGAATGAAGTGCCAAATTCATATCGTTTAGAAGTCAACAACAGCTGTGCCAGGGACAAAGACTTGGCGTTGGCTTAAAGAGCAAACCATAAAACAACAAAGAGGTTTATGCTGGCCCAGGCCCTGGGTGCTGTGCCTGTGGCACTCAGCACCTGGGGAGCACAGAAAATGGCTGCTGGCCTTGGGAGAGCAGTAATGGGCACAGCATGGGAGACCTGAGCAATCTGTGCTTGATGGTTTGATGTTTGGAAGAAAATCTTTCCCTCAGAGAGCAGTGAGGACCTGGCACAGACTGCCCAGAAAACTGCGGGTGTCCCATCCATGGAGGTGTTCGAGTTCAGGCTGGATGGGGAGGCAGCCAGCCCATGGTAAAGGGTTGGAACTGAGTGGACTTTAAGGTCTCTTTCAACCCAAACCACTTTGCTCTGATTCCTGTCAAATCTGGAGACAGCCAAAGGCCTGAACCCAGCCATGCAGTTGCCAGGCCTCCAGCTTGGAAACAGGGCCATGTTGAAGGAAGAGTGCCTGAAGGCTGCAGGAAATGCCAGTTCAGCATCCTGCTTCGCTGCCTGTTTAACTACCTCTGAAAGGAAGATCAGCTCTGCTGCAACACCACAGACAGGCCCCCCAGCCCTGCTGCAGGACACAGCTCTGTCTGAAGAAGTCCACTTCTGACCCCGTGCTCAGCTCAGGGTTCAGGAACTTGAGCTTCCCATATTAGCAGAGAGAAAACTATTGGATGCTTCCAAGAACCTGGAGCAGTTTCTCATTTTGAGACTGAGAAAAATCCCTGCCTGGGATGCAGAAAGCCCTCACTGAGGGAAGCACTACCAGAACTGGCACAACCTTGTAAACGTTCTGAATGAACTGAATATTTACAGCATGAATATTGCACTGGAAAGTATCTGGCAAGCTTGGCACTACCCATAGAAGCTGGCTGCCTCTCCCACCTCCCCAGGCCGGCTGCCTGCCAGGCCCAGCAGTGCTGCTATAACCAGCCCTGCACACTGCACTGCCCGGCCCTGAGATGCGAAGCACCTCTTCAAGAGAATAAGTGTCTTGGGACACCTATGGTTCCATGAGTGCAGGACACCAGCAGGTGCTACACACGAGACCATAACCTGACGTATCTGCTACAGAGTAGATTCTGACTTGAAACCACTTTATGCCCCATGCATAACACCTATATTTCCTTTGACGCCTGATATACTTCAGCCAGAGGTAGGTGCATTTCCAGGATGGGTTACTTGATTTCCCTTTAGTTTAGAAAGTGATAGCAGGTTTCTTAGATGATTCCATATACATATTCCATATACATACATAAGACCAACATCAGCATTTCTGAGTTGTTAGAAAACATGAAATCCTGCTATGCAAGTGATACCTTGTGTATTTCAAGCATAGAAAAAAAAAAAGCAAACAAAAAAATAACTGCAGAAAGACAGCTACCAATGAACCCATGTCCTGTGCCCTCCTGCAGACTTAAGAGGAAGGATGAAAAGTTAAAAATATAGACAGACAGACAAGCAGACCAGTAATTCCTCAGAGATAACTTTCCCAAAGGGACTGCGTGCATTTCCATCGCTGCTACAATTCTCATTCTTCTAAGGGCTGAAGTCTGGAGCTCTGCAAACCGAGCTCTGATAATACTGAAGTTAACAGGGAGGTGGGGAGGGAAGGCGAACAAAACATACCAAAAAATGTTCCCCATAATATAAGCAAGAAAGCAATGACAAATAGGTCCTAAAATTTGCCTTATGCTTTATCTTATGACACTGAAAAGAATTTATGCATAATAAACCACCTAAAAGAATCCTCTACACTCTTTGTCTTTTGGTATTCCTCTGCAGCTTGGAAAGACAGAAAACTATCAGGTACCCAGCAACATCTCAAGAGCATTCCATGGCAAAGAACACATTCAGGAAACTCCCTATCCTGAGCACACAGGCGTGTACGCTTTAAGGCCCCAGATCAGCAACTGCTTACATGCACACCCAACTACAGCAGTGCTGCTACAGTCAATATAGGTGAGCTGGGTTAATGCAGCTCAGGAAAGGACACAGACTGAAAGCATTGCAGTTATTAACTCCTTACTGAATGGCTTAATACTATATTTAATGTGGTTTTACATAACGTTGAGAATGGCTTTCTGAGGACATCGCTCCCTGCAGTTCACTGGGCCATCCGTGAGGCTGGAGATCAATAGACCCCAAGCAAAAGTAGCGCCTGCCGGTGACTTTGTTTCAGAGCAATGGGAATCGAAGCTAACGGTCCTTATGCAGACGCTGAAGTTCACGACTTTCTTCTGTCCCTTAAGGTAGCAGCCACACAGCAATAACGCCAAGCAGGGCCAACTCCAGCCTCACCTCCCCGACAGCCAAAACGCAGCTCCGGAGCGCCGTGCCGCCTTGATTCCAGCGGGCTGCACGGCCGACCCCGAAGATGCCGCGAGCACCGGCGCCGCGCAGCAGGTCCCGCCCGGGCCCTTTCGGTGCCGCGCTTCCCCCGGCTGCCCGCACCGCGGAGGAGCCCCGCCGCCCGCCGGCACTCGCATCACTGCGGAGCCGCGCGAAGGTCGCGGGTGCGGCGCATCTCCAGCCGCCCCCACGGGGCCTTTCCCCGCGATGCCGGGCCGTTCCGCGGGCACGCAGCGCCTTACCGCATTCCTCCGGGGCCTCCTGCCGCCCCGCGCGGGGCTCCCCTCGGCCATGGCCTCGCGGCCGCAGCGCTGCGGCGGTTCCGCAGAGGGACGCGGCGGCCCGGCTCCCTGCTTCCCGAGCGCCGGCTTCGATTTAAGGTGGAATGCCAAAAATCAGCCTCGGAACGGGGCCGACTGCCTTCCGCCACGACCGAGCCTGAGCGATTGCACCACAGCTTTCACCGTTCTGCTTTTCTTTTTTTTTTTTCTTTTTTTTTTTTTTTTTTCTTTTTTCCCCCTCCCTGCTGCTCTCTGAAGCACACGTTCTGAAGTTGATTAGGATTTCGTGTGCGAAGGAATGCAGTCCGTAGCAAAACCTACGGCTTGAGCCTGCTGGCAGGGTCTTGCTTTCCAAAGCAATGGCACAAGCATGAGCCCGTGCAGTCAGTACAGAACGGCATACACAAAGGAGTTAAACAAAAATCTGTATTCTGATAAAAAAAAAAAACAAAAAAACAAACCCTGGATCAGATGCGTGACTGCAGAGCTGCATATTCTTATGGTGAAAAAATAGGGCACTGTATTTCAAATGCAGCTTATTTGCACTTCTTTATTCCAGAATTACGCAAAGATCAGAAATGCAGCATGCACTATAGTTTGACTGCAAGTAAATCGGGATGTAACCTTCTGTGTTACTAGCACAAAGGCAAGTCCAGCAGAACCCCTCTTGGTCACAAAGACAGCCTTCCAGGGCTGGGCCCTCTGGTTTTTAAGGCGAGCTTCCCAACTCTTAGCATTTAGCAGATTCCTGCCTCTCACTGCCCTCTGCACACAGCTGCGCTGCAGTATTTGCACACACAGCCCTGATACACCCCAGGCAAAGCTTCTGCTCTGCGTGGACACAGGTACACTAATAGGGTGTGTGCTCAGAGGTCACACAGTAATTACATTTCCTGATGGAACACGAGATGAATGGCACTTCTGTTTGAAGCTACAAATTAGGACAGACAGGATTTTTTTGTGCTTGAAACTTCCCAACTATGCAAAGCACCAACATCACCCTTAAAGGCAGCTCCTGGTACTCCCACTGGTTCAAACACCAGCAGCAGAACTGAATTCTGATGATCACTTTAAGGAATTTTTTTCTATTTTTAAAATGCTGCCTTTTCTCTCATGATGTGTGCAAATTCATGTTGCAATGTTCAGAAGAGAAAAAAAAAATACAATCAAATACTGACAGCAGTACCTTATGCACAATGCAGAAAGGTAATGGCAATCCTTCCTTCCATTGGATGCCTATAAGCAAAATGTCACTAAGGCCAAGTCCAGCTGGACCAGGAATGCCACACTCTAGTTCCCCATGGCTCAACGTGTTGGTGAGTTGCAGAAAACTTGCTTTGAGTTATGCTCAGAACAGGCAGCACAAAAAGTGAATGCAGCGGTGCACGTTTAAAACAGTTTTTCCACCCAAGCCCACTCTGCAGCCTGCTTTAAGATTCCAACCCTTTCAGTCACTGAAAATTAGGTAAAATATACTCTCACTAATAACCAGTGTCTAGAAAGAATATATGTGAAGCCAAATTCTCCACCCAACAAAATCACAGAATGTGGCACAAAACACATTTGGGCCACTAAGGGAAAGTACAAAAACAAGCAAATGAATTGGTTTAATGCTCAAACAGCTCATTTATGCATTCAAATGAGGCACAGAGCCATGACTGAATTAATCACAGGGCCATAAAGCAAAATGCTACCGAGAGAGAAAGCACGAGCATCATTGCTCCCAACTCCTAATGCTTTCTGAAAGTGGCACAAAATGGACACGACTTCGTACTTTGAAAGAAATTACCATTAAAGAGGACTTACTGCAATTTTTTGGAGAGTCATTTTGACAGATGTCCACGTGTCCAATCTTCTATCCAGGATTAGGATAAATTTGGTGTCCGACTCATGTTGACTATGGGATTAAAAATAAAAAAAGTAAATGAATAACATTTTGAGGGAATGTGACTTTGTACCCTGCCTCACCCTCTCCCCTACCCCCAAAAACAATCCCAAGAACACAGAAAACAAAGCCCATTTTGACATTTCCACAGGTGTCAGACAATCACAGAATGGTTTGGGTCGGAAAGGACCTCATGGGAACCCTGCGGGCAGGGCTGCCACCCCCTCAGTCAGACACTGGGTCAGGTTCCCCGGTGCCCCATCCAACCTGGCCTCAAACACCTCCAGGGATGGAGCGTGCTGCCAAAATACATTTGAAAATATTTCCTAGAACAGACTCCAGCAGCAATTTGGGAAGTCCATCTCATGGCTGAAGCACTGCCTCTGCAACGGGCAACGCTATTTGCGTATCAAAATCCTTTATGCTGGTTTGAAATCCCCTCAGGAAGTGGGGAGCTCTGGGGATCCACATGCTGCAGTGTGACCCAGTGCAGAGGTGAACTGTGACTGTAACAAATACAACCTTGTCAGGATATCTGGTCACAGCTCCACCAACAGACACACCAAGGGTACCTCCAACTGCAAACTGGAGTTGTGTTTGCACGTGTGTAAGGGTACACCACCCCTACAAACACACACTATGGATATGTTAGGTCAAGCTCAAAGTGCAAAGGTTCGTGCTTTTATGCAATTTATGCATTGTCATTGAGGCATACCAGAAAAGAGCAGAGAAAATAAATACTGTGTTTTACATATGGGTCACACACAAAACCTTGGCACATAAGTAAGTGCGAGGTAAGCTTACACACTGTCATCTGGAATCAGGCTCAACCTTTCAGCCAAAAGCCTATTTTAGCCAAATTGGTTTTGGCAACATGGAGAAGTCTTTGCACACTTGTGTCAGGAAATCCCCAGCAAGAGTTTAGTAACAGCAGCAGGTGGGAGAGGGCCAAAATGATCCTTTTGTGTGAGGTTCACTTTGATAATGAGGATAGAACTGCTTGATTTTCCAGTGTACAACTTTAAAAGGCAGGTCTCTGCACAGGATAGCATTCCCCAACCCTTGGCAGTATTAAGACAAATACGGCATTTAAGCAGCACTGCTGTCATTGTAATAAACCCCTTCAAAAATAACACCAACAAACCCAGAACCCAAGCAATTCTGAAAAGGCAGCCAGACCTTAACACAATGTCAGTTCATCAAAGCATGTCCCAGTACATCATTCAGTCCAGACAAGGTTACATTCAGTGAGCAGCCTCTCAGCAAGCTCATCTACTTTTATCAGTTCCCTTACATACACAAAGAAGCAAGTTCTGAGCTGTACAAAAGTTCTGAAATCCACTATGGGAAATTTTTAATTTATTTTAGGGCAAACAGAGCAAGCCTATGGCTATTTGCAATCCAGGCCTTGTGGGTTGATCAGATTTCCAGTCCCATGATGTACCTTTCAGACTGACAAGAAAAATAAATCAATGCATTCTCACAAATGCTTGCAAGAGGCAGCTTTATTTGCATCCAGCAGCACATGATGGAGATGGATAACCAGACAGAGGCTTCCTGTCACTTTTTTCCTTACCCTTACTTTTGTATGTGTTGCAGGACACACCGGACTAAAAATAAAACTTGGGAGCTTTTGCAGGAGGACTTGAAATTGGATCGCCAAGTCTGCAACTGGGAAGTTGCTCACTGGGCTGGGAGGCTGCTGGTGGATCAGAGCACACCCCAGCACTCACTGCATGGTACTGCTACTCCGAATTATTGTGGCTTCACTGCTCCATGTCCCCAGCTGTGGCTGTATGTCATTTTTACTCCAATATGACGATGCAGGTGAAATACACAAAGTTTGTCTAAATACCTAAAAGCTGCATCGTCAAGATCACTGCCAGGGTCTCCTTTCTGCAGAGATCAGGATTTGTCCCACTCTCCTGTGCCTCTCCTTCAAGCACATCATTGTGCAGTGCTATTCAGCAAAGCCCATCCCTCAGCACACAGCCCACTGCATGTATTTTGACTGGGGTACATGGAATGTGGGAACACACTATTCATCTTTCTATATCATTATTCTGCATCATCTTCTCTACTGTTTTTCTCTACAGGTCTTCCATACAACCACGTCCTGCATTATGGTTGCAGAAGTCCCAAAATCAAATTAACTGAATACAAAACTCAGCTTCTTCCTGGCTCTGTCACTAACATGCTCACCAGAATACTACAGACCCAACATCCCATGTGGTTCCCTCAGACTGGTGTCAGCAGGACAACTCATAGTCATTGCTGCTGATTACAAAGAACGGCGTGGTGCACATGGTTTTGATGAACCCATAGCCATCCATAGGTACATGGCAGGGAAGTGTCTGTGTATTTACAACTCATTCTGCACAGCTCTGTGCAGTCATTTCAGACTCCAATGTTGTTAGAACAGCCAGGTACTGAAGCAGGCTGCGATGGTGGTAGGAGGACTAGAGAAGCATGATTAAAGTGGTTTTACAAATAACACACTGAGCACGGCTGAATCACCAGAAAGCTCTCAGCTCTCATTAGTTTCCTGATTGAGTTTGACCTATTACAGGGACAGCAGGACTGCTAATCATGCTAACGCCAGAGTGTTTAAAGTCACATGGAATAAAAAGCCCTGAAAGATCCAGGCAGAGAAGCACACACACAGCTGGGGGCAACCTGCCCAGCAGGACGGGACGGAAAGACCCCTCTGCAAGCCTGACCCAGGAGGAGCACAGCTTCACAGTAGATCAAGAAAGAAAGAGAGACCAGAAGCCCTTTTTATTCCTGCAGAGGTGGCAAAACAGACAGTACTTCTCCCGAGGCAGCTGCTGATAGAAAGCTCCCATCTAGCTGCTGTCAACCTACTCTCCCTGAAGGCAGAAATTTGCCAAAACAGGCATTATTCAAGGAAATTAAGCATTCCAGGTAACTGAGTCAGGCTCAGCAGCAAGTAGTGAGAGCACCATTAATCTGAGCACAGAGCCCTGCATGTGGTCGGGACAGATTGCTGGCTGCTTAACCCTGGGATACAGGCACATAATGGAGCTGCAGCACGCTGCTGAGTGATCGGGTGTAATGGGGACCCCAAATGGGTTTGTTCCTGTAATTATTCTCTTCCTTTGGTTACATTTCTCTTTTCCACAGTAATGACTCTCTATTTGTACACGTCACAATATTACTCTGGAGAGGAATGGCATATTTAAGCAATGACACATGTCAAAGCTTAAAAGAAAGCCTGTTGCTAATTAGAAACTTAATAAACTGAACTGATGATATATGCAGGCTGGAAAGTAATAAGGACGATGTCCACTTTTTATCTGCAGTTACTGGCACATTAAATACCACACCTGGACACCGCAAGAACTTGCAATTAATTGCTTGTCTTCTCCCCTGCCCTAGGAGCTGAAGACACCCCTCGTGCCCACTCACAGCATTAAGCTGAAGATATTGCACCTGGCCCAGGTCAGACTGACACTGCCCATCACAGGTGAGACAGAAGGCGGCCACATACCTCGGGACTGATGTTAGATACGTTAAGACTTTAGTTACAACATCCTCAGGCACATCGTTGAAGCGAGAGTTGTCAGGCAAGGTGATGATCCAAGCCTTGTCCTTCCCTCGGCCACCTGGAAGGAAGACAAGAGTTCTTCTGTGGGTGTTTTCTGGGAGAGCCAGCAGCAAAATCCAGGTGCACAATCCAGGTCAAAAAACACCCCACCAGCCCATAGACTATGTTATTACAGAGGGTATTTACATCACCAGAACAGACAAAGTAGGTCAGATTCTGGCACTGATGTCAAGCACAACACACATGCACAGGTGGTAGAAGCAAAACTACTTGGTACCAGATATTTCCTTTATTTGTTAAG